CTGTCATGGCTAAGAAAAGAATTGTTCCATAGGGAAGATTTCTAGGAGGGTGAAGAACATTGGTGGTGTAACTTGAGACTTCTTTTGGCAAAGATAGAGAAATGGTCACAAAAATCACCTTAGGATGTAATAGCTTGCTTATCTTCATGATTGAGGAAGATAAGGTGGATAAGAAGGTGCAAATATAACATGTGACTGGATTTGATGACCAATTGTTTTTTGGCCAGTTCGTTTGGTACTTAGAAAGTTATCATGATTATATTACCGCATCATGACTCTAGTCTATATGTAGGTCAAAGCGAGAGCAGAATAAAATGAGTAGCTATTGTGATTGCTATTACTACAATAATAAATTCCCTTAAAGATTTGAGGAGAGAATATTGTATCAAGGAGTTGTATTATGATTGCTAAATTGCTATTTACTCAAAGGTAGCTGCACAGTGAAGGTGAATAAAGTGTTGCCATCGTTATGATTTGTAAAATATTCAGAGATCTGCTCATATAAAAGACAGAACCTAGGTGCTTCTGGAAATCAGCTAAGAAAAGTCCATAAAAATTTTAAGTGTTTTTTACTTTTAATAATTATTTAAACCTTCAGTCTGCCATTTATATGGATGCTTCTTAATTAATCTACTTCATCCAATTATAACTTATCTGTAAAAAGTTGAACACTCTCCAACAATTCAAGCACACTTATTTGAGTCACTAGTTTTAATCTTCATTGATTTTCCCCTTCTCTAGAATTGTGGTAAAGTAGCAACAAAGGGGAGATTTCCAAACCAAAGTAAAAGGTGCTATTCAATTTACAGTTCACCAGTTGTCAGCCTCAGATGTAATAATACATTGTTGAGAAAGACATGATAATAAGTTTTGAAGTGCTACAATTGCTGTAAAAATATTTGATTTACTATCTAAAGAGAACATTTATGCCTCTAATGACTTAGGCCATCCCAAATTCACCCCAGTTCCCTACACATACCCATCATTAACAGTATCAAACCCCCTTGCTAATATTGTGTAATGATATCTATGTGATGGAGATAAAGTAAAAACATTAACATTCTTCTAACTACCTGGCATTTCTATGTCCCCTTCCTTTCACAAAGCACTGGGCGACAAATTATTTTTACTACTCACCACAATATCCTGAGGCAGACAACCATGGTTGTTCAAACATAGTGACTCAAGACTTAGAGGTTCTGTCCATGCATTTGCTTTCCTTAGGAATAGGTTTAATAATTTAGATTTAAATTTCTTGGATAAAAATCTCTTGTGTGGGACCAAGGAATCTGCATTTATGTAAAGGTCTTTCAGGTCACTGTGTTTCAGACTTTCCAAAATTTGAATTTAAGAATCAATTGTGTAGAACAGTCATGAGAAAGTAATTTGAAGATGGTAAGATGCAAATTTTATTTAAAAATGAGTGGAACATGTGTTTTTGGTGTCAATGAGCATTGCAAGCCTTCTCCATGTGAGTAGAACCCAGTTGTGTTAGTTTTGAAAGTTCTTTTAAATTAAAGTTGCTACAAATCATTTTAATCTTCTAATTTTTCCCACCACCTATACCTTCTTCTGCCTCAAACATCCCCTGCCCCTGCAATCACCTCACTGCTGATTGCTGCATTACAGTGAATCTCAGAGGAAAGTAAAGAAGAGAAAGAGTATTTCCAAGGTGATAGACCCAATACAACTGAGGAGTTAAATGGGGTATGGAAACTAGAAAAAGAGGGACTAAAAAATAATTCTGATATTCAGGTAAGTGGAATTTTGTGATACTCTTAACAATATAAATTTGGGGGCAAGAGAGATATTTGTGTGTGTTTGTGTGCGTGAGTGTATGTAATGGGGCAGGCTGTGAGGATATATTGCAAGTTATCTCAAGGGGCATGCACGTAGTTGTGAATGTGCAGCCTTTGGAAGTATTTCGAAATATGAATCTGTGTTAAGAAATGAGGGAGGATGTGAAGAATGTGGGTGGGGGCTGGACAGAGAGTGAGAGAGAGAGCAAGAGCTAAATTATAAACAACAAATCCTATATTCTGGTTTGTTTTAGGATGTACATAGATCCTTATCTCAATACCTGTTGTTCATCTACACTAGCACACTAATCCCACTGCTTTCTGTGCCCTGTGTTTTTCTCAGTCCAGAAACAGTTAAAAGTCACTAGTGAAAGAACTGTCATTAGATTCCTCTCCAACAGGTAATAGATGTAGGGACTAAAGGGAACACAGAGCCACAAGGAGAATGTATTGTTCCCTGGGCTGCAGAACATACTAGGGTGGAATGACCACAGCTAACATACCAGAATTTGATTATAACACAGCAGTTATGTCGACAGCAACACCACCAACAGAGCGGCACCATGATTAGTATTAGCATGTTCAATGTCATTAAAACTACATCCATAGAAATATAACTATATGTCTGTTAAAATTACATCCATAGCAATATAACTATATGTCTATATTGCTATATGTCTAGCAATATAACTATATGTCCATCACTCCCCATATACAATGTTTTGAAATTGCCGCGGTCCTGCCGCAGCTGGGTCCAGGGGTTCCTGAAAGGTGGGTAAGGCATTGGCGATGGGAGACGGAGGACAACACGCCTCAGAGGACGGTGAAGCTCTGTTCCATTTATTGCAAGTACAAGCAGGTTTTTATATTTTCATTTTTGGTAGTGATTAACATTTGCGGTTAGACGAAGCAGGAAATTTTCTACCTGGATATTTTAAATCAGACAATTAGAAATAGCTGTATGTACAGAGTTTGAATGTCTTATTGTTTATTAAAGTTCTCAGAGTTTGTCATGGGGCAAAAAGACATGCTAGATTGAGCAGAGGTTATAGGAAATTTATTATAAGGCCTTTTTGACGTCTAACTTAGCAATCTATCTTTTCTGTCTAAAATGTTTCTCTATGTACTATGGACTCTGACTCCCTGGTAATTGTTTCTACATGCTTAGTTTGTAATAGCTAGCCAGCTTCTCTTATTTCTTTGCCTATCTAATTCTAATTGATATATATTCCTATTCAAGGTAAAGGAGGGGCTGTTACTCCAACAACTTTTAGACATTCAGGGGCTATTTCATTAGAGGGGATTTTGTTCTCTGGTCAAGAAATTATTTTGTACAACTTCATTGGAATTATGCAAATCAATGAACCTGAAATACAGGTGTCTAACAATCCCACCACTTTTTGATCACATGAGTTTTTATATGGGAACAGTCAGGATAATTTCTTACTCAGGTTTATAAACACCTTGTTTAAACAATTTTTGGGCAAGATTCAATAGTCTGGGAGAACTAGTTGTCCCTTCAGAATTTTCCTCAAAGTTAATCATTGACTCACTTCGAGCCTCTTTCTCCTCATGGCCTGTTCCTATGGGAATCAGGGTACAATGTAAGACCATGAATAAAGGAAGTAACTAAGAGCAATCCCCAAAAACTACCTCCCTCTCTTTGTATGCCACGTTCTCTTCCATAAAGATGGATTCCTTGAATTCCTTCTTTCCATGTCCGAACCTTGTCAGACAACATGGCTGGAAGAGGACGTGGCATGTAATAAATTTGACACAATAAGAAATAACATAGGTCCCTTCACACCTTCACAAATCGCAGTGTTGTTGGGTGCAGGACCGGCTGAAGAGGAATACTCAATGACAGTATCATGTGATGACAAAGATGATAAAGGAAGAAGGGCCAGCTTTTGGAATGCTGTTACTGTAAAATTCACATGATTGTCATTGCACCTGCAAAGCATCATGAGTTTATTCATTAGAAATAACTTCTTTCATACCTTTGAAACTAAAACTGTCAATATGGCTTAACAAGGTCGCCTATATTAATTACAGTTCCTGCCTCATAGACATAAGTGAATCAAGAACAGTTTATGAGACAACATTAACTTACTCTTCTGTGGTTTACCAACAATACCAAAATATCTGTGCTTTAATTAGAAAAACATTGATGATTTGGTCATCCTGCATCTCATATGAGTTAGTGTATGAAGATGGCCGAGCTCTGCAGTGTTGTCAGTCAGGGACCCTTGTCTGAACCTTCCCTGTCTCGGAGCTGCACCATCTGAAACACATCCTCAGAACAAGACAGATAACAGGACTTGAAAGCATGTGTGGGAAATAGAAATGTTTCAGCTCTGCTTTGTAAAAAATATATATACATATATAATTATTTTATTGTTACACTATAGCATGCATTAGTTGACCCTTTTAAATTTATTCTTTTTTATTTTTTAATTTATTCCAGTTCTGCTTTTGACTCATGCTGTAAAAAGGATGAAGCTTTTCCCACAGAAAGTGGGGAAAGTACCTGATTATGGAGGTATCAGTGTTACCCAGAGAAAGGCTACACTCAAACAGCACCATCTGCTTACCTCCTGGTTGCTGGTAACTTGTCACTGACACAGTTGTGCCAACATTATGTCCACAAGGCTTCCTCATCTGGCCTGCGTTGGCCAGAGGAAGAGCTGGTGATTGACTGGTGGAGCCCTAAGATTCAATGCTGTTGAGGGAAAATTTTCTCAGTAGGCTCACAGTAAAGAACCTTATCTAAACTTTATGTTTACCTCTCACAAAGACAGCTGCCACCACTGAGCTCAAATTAACAGACCTCTTTCCCTGATTATCTTCCCCATCACACTCTGCATTACAAAGGGCAGGGACCCAGACTTCCTGGGTCATGAGTTCAAACCTAGTAAGGACCTGAATACGGAGAAGCTTAACTGAGAGTTATAGAATTGAACTGAAATTCTGAGAATTCAGTCAAGCTGAAGACTATATCATTGGAATTCACATTCTCCCTATTCAAATATTCTTGCTAGAATAATTTGCAAAAGGGAGAAAACCACAGTGATTGAGAGCTGTGCTGGGATAGGTCCTAGAACTACTGAGGCATTAACTTCCCCAAGCGTCCCACTAGGTGGCATTGTTAAGTTTCTCTTCTGCTTCCTTGGTTTCATTTCCACTCCTAAGCATTTAAGTTTCACTTTTCACCCTTTTCCTGTGGGGAGCTGCTCTGTGGAGGGCTGGTCTCTGGCTTGGTGAGTAAATGTTGAGCAGGCCTACAGCAATTCTCCTCCACTGGTTCAGGACTGCTATAGGTAAGTGGGGCAGTTTCTGAGGGCAAAGGACAGGAGGCTTTGGGGGAACAGATTGAATGTGTTTGGTGACTTAAATTGTGGTTCTGAAGCTGCTGTGCCTGTGGCTGTCTCTGCTGAGGTGGCAGGAAAGGGGAACATTGAATCTGGGGAAAGAGTGACCTTCAAAGAAGGGAGGTTTAAAAGAGCAGAGTCTTATATGTTTCTTTTTTTAAAATATATTTTATTAATTATGCTATTGCAGTTGCCCCATTTTCCCCTCTTCACTCCCCTCCACCCTGCACACCCTCTCCCACCCACATTCCCCCTCTTCAGTTCATGTCCATGTATCATACTTATAAGTTCTTGGCTTCTACATTTCCCATAGTATTCTTACCCTCCCCTATCTTCTACCTACCACCTATGCTACTTATTCTCTGACTCTTTTCCCCCTCTTTCCCTCTCCCACTCCCCTGTTGATAAGCCTTCATGTGATCTCCATTTCTGTGGTTCTGTTCCTGCTCTAGTTGTTTGCTTAGTTTCTGTTTTGTTTTTGTTTTAGGTGTGGTTGTTAATAATTGTGACTTTGTTGTAATTTTACTGTACATGTTTTTTATCTTCTTTTTCTTAGATAAGTCCTTTTAACATTTCATATAATAAGGGCTTAGTGATGAAGAACTTCTTGAACTTGACCTTACCTGAGAAGCCCTTCCATTCTAAATGAAAGCTTTGCTGGATAGATCAATCTTGGATATAGGTCCTTGCCTTTCATGACTTGGAATACATCTTTCCAGCCCCTTCTTGCCTGCAAGGTCTCTTTTGAGAAATCAGCTGACAATCTGATGGGAAGTCCTTTGTAGGTGACTGTCCCCTTATGTCTTGCTACTTCTAGGATTCTCTCCTTCATTCTAATCTTGGGTAATATAATGATGATGTGCTTTGGTGTGTTGCTCCTTGGGTCCAACTTCTTTGGGACTCTCTGAGCTTCTTGGAATTCCCGGAAGTCTATTTCCTTTGACAGATTGGGGAAGTTCTCCTTCATGATTTGTTCAAATAAGTTTTCAATTTGTTGTTCTTCCTCTTTTCTATCTAGCACCCCTATAATTTGGATGTTGGAATGTTTAAAGATGTCCTGGAGGTTCCTAAGCCTCTCCTCATTTTTTTGAATTCTTGTTTCTTTATTCTTTTCTTATTGGATATTTCTTTCTTTATTCTGGTCCACTCCATTGATTTGAGTCCCAGTTTCCTTCCCATCACTACTGGTTCCCCTTACATTTTCCTTTATTTCACTTAGTGCAGCCTTCACTTTTTCATCTAATTTGCAACCAATTTTGTGAGCATCCTGATTACTAGTGTTTTGAACTGCGTATCTGACAGGTTGGCTACCTCTTCGTTGCTTAGGTGTATTTTCTCTGGAGCTTTGATCTGTCCTTCCCTTTGGGCCATTTTTTTTTTGTCTTGACACACCTGCTACATAGTGAGGAGCAGAGCCTTAGGTGGTCACCCGCTGGGGCAATACAGTTGCTGGATGGTGACACTGTATGTGGGGGGCAGGGATCCGAGAGGGAACAATGGCACTTGCTCTGCTCTCTACCAAATTTGAGCCACTTCCTTCATACCCCCCAAGCAAATTGAGCCCTTCTGGTGCTGATTCCCATGTGGGTGGGTTTGTGTTTGTTCTAGGACCCTCCGGGTCTCTCCAGCAAACTCTCCTGTGAGGCTGGGAGTCTCTCCTGGCACTGAAACCCCCACAGGTGTTTTCAGTCAGAGGTTTAGTAGGGAAAACATGGAATCTAAAGAACTTGAGACATGTGAACATAAACTAAAGGCGGGGCATGGTGAGGGAGGGGTGTGCAGGGTGGAGGGGAATGAAGGGGTGGAATAGAACAACTGTAATGGCATAATCAATGCCATTTACTTTTTCAAATATATATATTTCTTTATATATAAAGAAAAAGTAAATATATTTGAAAAAGTATATATATATATATTTGAAAAAGTATATATATTATATATATATATATTTGAAAAAGTAAATCTGTAAAAACACAAGGGAAATTAATGGTAGCCTGAGGTTCAGAGTCAGAATGAGGGTGACTGCTGATGGCATTAGCTTTTTATTTCAAAAATAAATATGTTATAAGGAATTTGGTGATACTTATACCATTCCACAAATTTACTAGAAATTATTATACTCTTAAAACAATACATAGGATGTAAATATAACTCCACGAAATTGTTAAAATAAAATAAGTCATGCAAGTGATAGATAAGGATCATTCCATTCAGAGAAGAGCAAGTATAAAAACCTAGCAGGCTGCAGTCAGGTTGGTGTATTTAACATGTTGGATGTGTTTGGGGGAGGGGCAAACTAGAGAAGATTCATGATGGGGAGGCACAAAGCTCTTGGTAGGAAGGGCTTCAATGTGTCCCTCTATTCCATAGAAACAGAGAAAAATAGCAATCCATCATTGCCTCAAACAGATGAAATTTGTCATGTGACATGAACCAAGAATAAAATGTTTGAAAGTATTACAAAATGCCCTTTTCATCATGTCAATGACCTACCCTTCTTCTTTCTCCCTTTTCCTTTCCTAACTAAATATTGATGTTTTGTCCTGTTGTAAATCTCTGCACATCAGTGTTCTTTCTCTTCCTGCCATTCTTACCCTGCCCCCTTTGGTATTACCAGACCCACAGGGGTTTGTGAGCAAGAAGAGCCTCTGGAGTCAGGACAGGAAGAAGCCAGGAGAGATTGGCCATGGATTTTTCATCGCAAGAGAGCATAAATGAGGTGACCTGCCCCATCTGCCAGAAGGTCCTAACAGAACCCATGAGCTTGGACTGTGGCCACAGCTTCTGCCAAGACTGTATCACTGCAGAGAGTGAATCAGGGGACCGTCTAGGATTGGAATGCTTCTGTCCTGTTTGCCAGAGCAGATACCAGCCTTGGAACCTCCGGTTTAATTGGGAGCTGGCAGACAGAGTGAAGAAATTCAAGGAGGTCGACATGAGTTTACACCTGGGTAGGAAGAGCGATCTCTTTGAGCACCATGAAGAAAATGACCAATTTTCCTGTACAGGAGACCAAATCTCCTATACAGAGGAGGAGGAGGCTTTTAGTAGGCTTTGTGTTGATGAACAGGAAGGTTACCGATTGTCCCCTAAAGAAGAGGTGGTCAAAGAATGTCAGGTAAGACCTGAGGTTGAGAAACATTGAATAGCATGGCACCTGAAATGAAATCTTCACTTTTTAATCCTATTCATTCCCCTCGTCATCATAGAACTAGACCTGCATTCTCTTTTCATAGCCTTGGCTCAGCTTCTGAGGCTTGAAGAACATTTCTGTGCATTCTTTCATTCTATTCAAGAATGAATGTAGACTACATGATCTTAGCAAAGAGAAGTTGTATGACTGAGAGTTGCTTCCTAAGATAAATTCTGATTGCCCCTGTGAGCAGGCAGGATTTTTTAGGAACATTTGCTTAGAGGAGAGAAAAGTGTCCATGAGAGGAAAGGACTTTACTTGCTGTAGGATCAGGTCTTCCTCCAGGAAAAGAGATACAAGATACTCTTGATAGAGGGGTGGTAACTCGCATCACCCAGGGAGAAAAAGTACATTCACCTCCTCAGATTTCTGTCTACATACTCAGTTCTAATTGCTAGTTTCATTTCTGAATCTTAAGTCTCTTTTGAGATGAGCATGGTTTCTTCTCTATTTAGCCTCAATCCAGGTTCTTGGAAAGCTCATAGCTTGACTTTGGTAATTTTATTCTCACAGGAAAAGATCCAGGAAGCTCTGAATAAGCTGACGCCAGAGCAGCAGGAAGCTGAGCAATTGGAAGCTGACATCAATGAAGAGAGAGCTACCTGGGTGGTAGGAAAACATTATTCCTGAGGGAGTTCTGAAACAGGAAAGTGGACAGCACCTTGGTCTGATCAGAAGGAAGCCCCTTCCTCCTTGGTACCTCACAATTAATGAGTCCAGAAGACATTTTATTAGTCCTCACTCAATTCCTTTCATATTAAGTGTTGGGGGCTACAGAGTAGACATGTCATAAGTGAAAGCAACCATTTTGGAGGAAAAACACCTAGAGGGAAGCAATGTAAAAATTATTCATGAATCCCATGACCCACCTCCATCGTCAGGTTTGAGGCTCTGTTACTTCCAGAGAACTCACTGAGTGAGGTCCCAGATTCCCTGTTTTGCAGGTATGGGTGGAGGAGTTTCATATACAATATGGAATGACCATACAGGATAGATGTCTACAATCCAAGCCCCAACCAGGTAGCACATTGTATCCCCTGGTGGGCCTTGAGTAAGTAGACTTGAATCAATTACTCTAGGTGGAGCTCAAGGGAAAATAGTAGAATAAATGATTTTCCCAGGAATTGCTGTTTTCCTTTTACCTCCTAACTGCCTGAAGAAAATATTTCTTGTCTTGGCTCATGAAAAACTGACTGCCTCCTTCTCTTCTCGTCCACAAAGAATCGTATGCAGACTGAGAGAGAGAGGATTCTCCAAGGGTTTGAGGAAATGAGAGACATCCTGGACAAAGAGGAACAGAGGGAGCTGCACAAGCTGGAGGAAGATGAAATGAATGTGCTGGGTGACTTAACAGCAGCTATAGACCAGGTGGTCCAGCAGAAGCAGCACCTGAGCAAGCTAATCTCAGATCTCCAGTGTCACATGTCAGAATTGTCTATAGACATGCTGCAGGTAAGACTTGAGATGGAGTTATGACATATGAGATTTGGGGGAAACACAGAGATGAAGTTTCTTTTCCTTCTGGGTCCCCACACCTTCTTTCTCATTAAAAGGTTTCATTGATCCCTCAGTGCCCCTTCTCTGTCATTCATTTCAAATGTCATCTGGAAATTAACTATACAAATGATAAAAGAAAGTCTATTTTTATGAAAGGCTGTGCAAAAATTTGAGAGGAGTCTTTGTAGGCTTTCATAATCTGTGTTCTAGCATTTGTAAGTCATTTCTTCACTGAGCATAGTCAAACAACTCACATCTCTATGTTTGATTTTGTTGTTCCATTAAGGAGTGGTAGATATAATGATAGATTAGTACCTGGGTGAAGGGTGAGTAAGTATGAATATACTTGTGTGTGTGTGTGTGTGTGTGTGTGTGTGTGTGTGTGTGTGTGTGTTTTCCCTGGACAGGGAAAGATTGGGGAAAACCTATAGAGACTTGATAAAGGAATTCTACTTAATAAGAACATTTATTTTTTTCATGAAATTAACTTCATGGTTGTGATCTTAAACTGTGAAGTATATAGAGACTCTCAGGAAATTTCAGATTTTTCTGTTTGACTTCTTGCTTTGACTTCTCCTTCTCCTCTGTTTGACTTTCTGTTTGACTTCTCCTTTGTTGGCTGAACATGAATTTCTTAACTTTGGTTCTAATATGGGTCTAATCAATATCTCTCTGCTAAATCATTACTTGTGCCTTAAAAAACACATTTGTTAAGGTATAAATTACATATAAAACTTGCCCATTGTAGTTATGCAATTCAAATATATTGTATTTGAAAATATATTGAGATTTTTTGTTTATTTATTTATTTTCTATTACAGTTGTCCCAATTTTCCTCCTTTGATGAGCCCACTCTGTTCCAGTCTTCTGCTCCCATAGTCAATCCCCACACTGTTGTCCATGCCCATGGGTCATTCATACATGTTCTTTGACTAGTCCCTTTCTTTCTTTTCACCATTATCCCTCTTCCCACTCCCCTCTGGCCACTGTCAGTCTGTTTCATGTTTTGGTGTTTCCAATACTATTTTGCTTATTAGTTTATTTTGTTTTTTAGATTCCTCTTATAAGTGAAATCATATGGTATTTAGTCTTTTAGTCTTTTACCAACTGGGTTGTTTTGTTTAGCATAATATTCTCCAGTTCTGTCCAAGATGTTGAACCACAAACAACATCAATATCTGTTGAAAAGACTCTCCCTTTCCCACTGAATTACTTTGGCATTTTTGCCAAAAATTAATTTGTTTTGAATATAAGGATATATCTCTGGACTCTCACTCTCTTACATAAATGTCTATATTTATCTTTGCACTAACACTCCAAGCTTTCAATTACTGTGGCTTCATAAAAGTTTTGAAATAGGGTAGGGTAATCCTATTTAGTCCTATGGCAAAACAATTCTACGCTAAGTCAGTTCTCTCTGGAGACCATTTAAACGCCTCTGCAGCAGGGACCGTTTGGAGAATTTTACTACAGTCTAATAGGTAGAGACCAGAAATGCTGCTAATTCAGCTGCAAAGCACAAGGCAGGGGTCATTGCAAAGAATTATCAAAGCAGAATCCCAGTAGTGTCAAAGCTGAGAAACACTGCCCTAGGTCCATCAAATTTTCTATGAGAATTTTTGTATATCTTGGTAATTTTTATTAAAATTCTTGTGGGATTTTATATGGTGAGGAGATGGCAGTCAGCTAAAGGGATGGACTGTATAGGACAGTTATGTATTCAACCTCATTCAATTTTTTTTTGATAACCAGCTCTTGATTACCCTTTGAGGAACCATCTCTACCCTCAGTCCATGAAGTTGATTAGGGATGACAAAATCTGTTGTTTTAGGGATTTATATATCTCTCAATTCTATTCCTATAAGTTTACCAATGATGCAGTAATTATTTTAAGATATGTACCTGACCCAATTCAGGGCAATAATCTGTATGCCTTAGAATTTGGGGGTTTTGTCTAGAAAGAGAAATTTTCTTTTCTGTTGGGTAATATATCATGAATTATCATTTAAACCAGTATATTCATGTTGACACCACATAGATTATAAAAAGAAAGGCCATATAGCAGGTAGAAAATAGGATTTTGAGAAGAAAAAACAGATCCTGATGATCAGATTTTTCCTAAGAATGTAGGTATTACAAATGTTGTACTTCCTGGGATTCTGTTTCTTTTTTTAATTTATATTTAGGCCAGTTTTAGCTGGTTTTTTTTTGTCATATTCAATAACAACAAAAAACCTAGTATAGCGAATACATTTTTTAAATCATTTTTCAAGTACAGTTGTCTTCATTTTCGTCCCACCATTCCCCCCCACCCTACCTATTCCCTCTTTCCACCCTAGAACCTACCCCCTTTGGCTTTGTCCATGTGCCCTTTATACGTGTTCCTTGATGGCCCCCACTCCTCTCTCGTTACTGTCAATTTGTTCTTTATTTCAATGTCTCTGGTTGTATTTTCTTTGCTTGTTTGTTTTGTTGATTAGGTTCTACTTATAGGTGAGATCATATGGTATTTCTCTTTCACCTCCTGGCTTATTTCACTTAGCAAAATGCTTTCTAGTTCCATCCATGCTGTCACAAAGGGTAGGAATTCCTTCTTTCTTTCTGCTGTGTAGTATTCCGTTGCATAAATGTACCAGTTTTTTGATCCACTCATTTGCTGATGGGCACTTAGGTTGCTTTCAGTACTTGGCTATTATAATTTGTGCTGCTCTGAATATTGGGGTACATAGTTTCTTTTGAATTGATGTTTCAGGATTCTTAGGGTACAATACCAGCAGTGGGATCATTGTATGAAAAGGCAGTTCCATGTTCAGTTTTTTGAGGAAATTCCACACTGTTTTCCACAGTGGCTGCACCAGTCTGCATTCCCACCAACAGTGTACTAGGGTTCCCTTTCCTCTACAACCTCCCCAGCATTTGTTTGTTGATTTGTTTATGATGGCCATTCTCACTGGTGTGAATTGATATCTCATTATGGTTTGCATCTCAGAGTAAAATTTTTTGAGGACGTACAGCCAAGGCTTTGTTGGGATAAAGTACTTAGTCTAAAGAGGGAGGAACCAAATATACTGGTATATTTCCATCAGGAAAATAAGGCCAATAATGTTTAAATGGGGAAAAGAAGATGGCTAAAAGAAGCTGACCATATGGACAGAACTGACTTAATATGGTATTAAAATTTATAATAAGATATACTTTTTAAGTCAGCGATGAAGAGGATATGGGTCTGGACAATGGAATGTAAAAGGTTGGAAAACAGTCAATAACATTTTAGACTTTCTGTGCTACTAGTTTCTGTGGTCTGTTTTATACGTAGAACTTGACAAGGGTTTCTTTGGGTAGCATGCAGGAGGTACATAGAGTGAGTGGAGGGAGGCCAGAGGAACATTTGTTCGAGGGGTCAATTTGCTTGTTCCTGCAGCAAAAGAGAATATACTTCCTGAACAGTATAATTATTAATTGTTCATTTTTTGATTAATTGATTCCCCAGAGCCTAAAATGATGTCTAGCAAATAGAAGATTTTACCTTTATTTGTCTCTATAATAAATGAAAGTATAATAAATAAAGGGGACTTCTCATGAAGGTGTATTAAAAACTGTAGGCTGACTCTCTTCAATATATTACATCTCCAGACCCTCGAAGCGTCTTTCTAACATCCTCACATGAGTTCTTGAGAGGCTTGGTCTGAGTGTTATCTCTACAGTTTGTCCCCATTTATTTATTTTAACCATCTTTTTATTCACACCATATCAAGGGGTGCTAGGGGTGTGAGGAGGAAGGTTAGTAAAACTTTATAAGGTACAAGGGCTAATTGCTTCTTCGAAATTTGCCAGACAAGATAAGGATCATTTAGTTAAATTTGAATTTCAGATAAACGACACCTCATTTTTTAGCAGAAGAGTATCCTAAATACTGCAGAGGTGATGATTGCACTAAGACATATTTGTAGTATGTTCACAATTAAATTTGAACTAGACAGGTTAATCTTCTAAATGCAGAAAACTTACACTTGACTTATGTATTCTCTCTTCTCCCCAGGATGCGATTAACATCCTAGCAAGGTATGTGTGTGGGACCAGGCATGGTCCTTTTTTTGTGTGATGACAGAATTATAACTGTAAGAGTAATCTTGAATCAATCATAATTTTAAAAAATCAGATAATTTTTTTAAATCACAATAAAAAATTGGGTATTACATAGTTTCAAATAGTTGATAACAGGTAAAACTATTTAATGGTAGGGATGTGTGTGGCAGGAGGTCACAGAGTTTGGGTAAATAGAAGCATTGGAAGTAAAGGATTGCAGCATCAGAACTCAACGACTTCACTCATTTTAGTCAGACCTCAGTCTCTGCCTCAGTATTTGTTTCTACATTTCATAGGTGTCTGTGTTGTCACAGAAGGATCTTGTCTTCTTTATCTGCCAGGCCCCCAAATTTTCTGCAGGAGAGATTTGCAAAGTCTTTCTAGGTGATATTCTTTGGGTTGTAATAGATAAATAAATAAATAACTCAAGTCTGGAGGAATGGGGACTTTAGTCCTAATGCCAATAATTAACTGCTTTTTGCTTAAACACTTTAGATTTTTATAGGGAAAAATGGTTTTCTTTGAAATTTGCCGATTTACTTGCTAAGTCTCAAGACCATGAAATTGAGATCACTATGAATTGCATTTCATAGGTTCTCATTTCCCAAATATATGTAATGTTTTCCCAGAGAACATGACCTCATATGTTAGCCTCTGCATCTATACAGAGATAACAGGTTTAGGAGACCTTCAGCCTTCAGATGCAGGAGCCCCACACTTGATAACTTAATATTCTCAGTAGCCAAGTTCTAGAACCTCTCTGCTAACCATCTGCCAGGGAACCCATATTTCTGGCCTCTTTCTGGAGGCACTAATGACATGGCAGTGACTTCTCCTTATATCAAATATATTTTTTAAAAACACAAAAGAACTTTTGAAAGTACCATTATTTCATCTAATATTATATTGTTTTTAAGAGGTATAGACTAAGGAGTTAATTCTTCCATTTTAGAAAAAAGAACACAGTCTCCATGAGAAGAAATCTTCCCCAAGCTCACTCAGAGGGTAAATGGAAAGGTAGACATGAAGACATTTCTTCTGGCTATGATATCAGCGCTCTCACTCCTCTCTCTCTCTCAGATTTTTCAGAGAAGTGGAGTCAAGTGAGGAGGCATCAATGAAGGGGAGGGCGATGGAGACATTGGTCTTGGAGAGACAGACACAAAGTCAAAAGTACGGGCAGTCAATTCTTTTCTTCTCTAGGAGCAAGATCTGGACCTTGAAGAAGCCAAAAATTATTCCCAAGAAACTGAAGAATACATTCCGAGTTCCAGATCTCAATGGGATGTTGCAAAATTGTAAAGGTGAGGAGAGCTGGGGAAAGGCTATGTATGTGAGATTCTCATAGCATAAGAGCAAAATTGGGGAGTGGATGTTATTTCCATATGAGATAAAAAAAGAAGTAGTCCTGACAAGAAGAGACAAATACCCTGAACTGAAAAAGGGCCAGGTGTCCTCTCCTTTTCCAGATGTCAGTCTCAAAGGATGCCCCTTTTCTCTTCCCACTTGAGAGAAAAGACAGTTACTGTGTTTCTGCCTTTGCTTCTAACAGCATCATTGAAACTTTTGTCATTTCAGAGCTGACAGAAGTTCAAAGCTACTGGGGTAAGAAGCCACAAGTTCTTCAAATCACCATGTTCTGATCTCTTTTCAGTTCTGGTACTATTAAGTGCCATAATATTAATTTACATGTATTTCTCCAAAATATGCATACCTGAAACAGTCCTAAAATGACCTATCCATTGCTGACCCATTAACTTATGTTCCTCCCATTTGATTCCCAGTATTCTTCCCCACAGTGTCAGAAAACACACCTGCTCAATGTAATTCACCTGACTGTGTTATTTTCTCTACAGTGGACTTGATGCTGAATCCACTCAACAATCTTTCAAATATTGCTGTTTCTTCGGATCAGAGACAAGTGACATTTGGGCAATATTCTATGTTTAGCAATGTATATCCATGCAATTTTTCTGCTTTTGATGTCTTGGGCAGCCGAAATTTCTTCTCAGGAAAATATTATTGGGAAGTTGATGTGTCTGGGAAGATTGCCTGGCTCCTGGGGGTATACAGTACACCAAGTAACCTCAACAGAAAAAAAAGCTCTGGGTTTGTTTTTAACCCAAATGTAAATTATTCAAATGATTACTCCAGATTCAGACCTGAAAATGGCTACTGGGTTATAGGCTTACAGAACAAATCTGAGTACAGTGCCTTTGAGGACTCTCCCACCTCAGATCCCAAGGTGCTGACCCTTTACATGGCTGTTCCTCCCCGTCGAGTTGGGGTTTTCCTAGATTTTGAAGCAGGTGCTGTCTCGTTTTTTAATATCACAAACCAAGGGTCACTCATCTACAAGTTCTCTAAATGTCACTTTTCTCAGACTGCTTATCCATATTTCAATCCTTGGAACTGTCCAGTTCCCATGACCCTGTGCCCACCCGGCTCCTGAGTGCTCTCCTGCCCTCACCCACTTCTGTGTAGCAACTTGTCCTGGGCTCACCTCCTGCCCCTGAGCTCACTGCTCCATTCACACCATCTCTTCCTTGCTGTTTCTCTTCTTCAGGACTTTTAGCCATTTGGGGGATTTGCATTGTTTCTGATGTAAGTTAGATGGGAAGCTTATTTAGTTTTTACCATTTTCTGTATTCTCAGTGAGAGACATCTAATCCCTCCTAAAGACAGAGCAGTATTGGTGTAACATCTCTGCCCTCTCACTTCTCCATATTTTTCTTTATCACTGATCTGAAGAGACATGGATCACCTGTGTCCACCAACCATGATCTCAGGACAACACACAGTCACCCACCCACCCCCACCAACTGAGAAGTGTCTGTGTGTTGCCCAGCATACAGCAGGAGGCTGTTCAGAGGGCTGAGAAAAAAATAAAACAAAAGTAATATATGTATCCAGAATGAAAATTTCATGTTCAGAATTTCTTAGTTCAAATCATGTCTCTTCTCATAAATGGTGTGTAGCCATCAGTAGATTTTTGTTTCTTCTCATAAAATACAAATTGTAATTTAAGCTGCACCTTAACCCTGAAGATTGTTGTGTAAAACTAACCTACCCTGGATGTAAAGCTCCTATTTATGTTTCCAGCACAATTACAGTAAATATTTGCTCTCGTGTCACTGAGAAGCATAAGCTGAGGTGACCTGTGCAACAGGTCTGTGCCCTTCAGAGGAGCAGTAAGTGCTTCTGCTGCAGCCTCGTCTGTCAGGTTCCAGGTTCTGCTGTCAAGACCAGTCCAGTCCCAGTCTTCAGTCAGAGACCTTTTTATACCCAGACTGGGACTGTGTTAAAGCCCTTTCTTGGAAATGGATCTGAAAAACGCAAAAGTATGAGTCTCCAAGACCTGTCTAGCAGAGGAAGCCATGTCTGAGGACAGCTGTTCTTCTGGGGGCAGCCTTTTGGTTTTCAGGACTTTTTCTTGCTGTGAAACATCTCAGTATAGCACCCTATAGACCATCCCATGCACTTTTCTCTTCCTTACTTCTAAAGTCAGTTTCAAATTATGTTGAGGAATAGATTTGCCCAGGATAGGGAAGGGACAAACTTTTCTTAGGAAACCACACATTATAAATGAGGACTGTCTACTGCACAGAACCCACATCAACATGTAGAGGGGTAATTACTTATCCCAGTGTGATAAAAAAGATGGTACTTGTCTGAGGAAAATGTGTCCATGCAAATTTATCCTTGCACACACATACATATACAACACATGTGTGTATATATATGTATATATATATATACACACACACACACCCATATATATATATACACACAGAGATATGTATATAATTGTATCTATGTATAAATATATAGGGAGCACGTTAATCTCAGTTAATCTTTTTAAATATCATAAAATAAATAATTCTTTATCAGGGATTTAAAACATTTACAAACTTATGAGATATATTTGAATGTTCTGTAACTAATGAGTGGAGGAGCCAAGGTTGGAACCAGGTCTATGTTTCTCCAGCACAGACTTTCTGCTGTTCACTCCCCAGGAAAGATAAGAGCCAAATCTCCTAGGATGTGAGGTAGAAGGGAAATTGCAGGAGATGCTGATTTATAGAAGGAGCCTGGAGAATCATGAGAAAGTCTTAGGGGCCATGAGATATTGATTGCTGTGTTCAATCCAGGTAGCCATTAATGAAACAGGAGGTGCTCAGTATAATGTTTAAAACCATGCTGAGTATTTAATGACCGGGGTGCTCTTGCAGGTGACATGTTGTAGAGAGTGAACATTGTGCACAGTTGAACCTTGACTTTAAAATTAGATAGAATTTCATAATCATACTGATATTGCTACTCACTGGTCTATATTTAAGTTGGATTTAGCTTCTTATAAGAAATAAAAAATAGTAAGAATAACATAAGAATATTGAGAGAATGAAGAAATAGAGCTTTTGCACTTTCTCACTTCCTAGCACAGAAGCAGTGGTCCAGATTGTTGTCGATTGATTTTCTCTGTGATTTGAAATAATGAATGTTAAAAATGAGTATTAATCTACCTCAAATTTAATATCTTTGCTATGATTTAAAATAGAATAAGGATTAATGAAGTACATCATTTTAGTCTTATCTTTCTGCATAAAAATATTTCTGGTCTTTTAATTTTGAAATATAGTTTATCTTATACTTTTCTAGTGTACAATTCTAGATTGTAATTGATTTTCTCTAAACATTCTCTTTGAATTTATTATTTAATATTTGCTATCAATCACATTGTGTTTTTTATTGTGGTAAAAATTATTTAATATGAGAGCTAACTGCTTACATTTTTAAGGCATTCCAGTTCAATAGGTTTAAAGTTTCAGTTATGCAAGATAAGTTCTATAAATGTGCTGCATAATATTTTGCCTATACTTATATTTATTGTGCATTTAATGATTATTTTTTATTTTAAAATAAAGTTTTATGTTTTGTTGTTGCTACCTACTCTTACTTGAAGTACTGAAATAATTTTCAAAGTATATTGTATTGATTATGCTATTACAGTTGTCCCAATTTTTTCTTCCCTTTACCTCCCTCCTTCCTGCACCTGCCACCACCCTTTATGATTTCCCCTCCCTTAGTTCATATTCATGGGTTGTACATATAAGTTCTTGGGCTTCTCCATTTCCTATACTTTTCTTAACCTCAATCCTGTCTACTTTGTGCCTAACTATTATGCTTATTCCCTATACCTTTTCCTCCCATTCTCCTCCTCCTCGTCCACACTGATCACCCTCCTTGTTATCTCCATTTTTGTGATTCTGTTCTTGTTCTAGTTGTTTGCTTAGTTTTTTTTTTAGGTTCAGTTGTTGATAGTTTTGAGTTTGTTGTCATTTTACTTTTCATAGTTTTTGATCCTCGATTTCTTAGATAAGTGCCTTTAACACTTGAAATAGTAAAATAAATTCTCCCCTGCGTTTTGCAGGAGCAAACATCTGTGATCAGTCAATTAACCCTAATTGGGCTGGTTGCTATCTATCTCAAACATGTGTAGTTCAGAAATTTGATCAGAGATTTTATGTGCAACTTGAGATTCTCCCTTTTAAAGATGTTCTCCTAACACTTTCTAGCTGCTTCAGTAGCCACAAATTATTCTTATTTTTCCAGTCAGCCAATAAGTCTGTATATTGTAAAGTTATAACTGTCTATCTGCTTCCAACTGAATGTGTCTTGAAAAAATATCAAAACTAGATGACTCCCATACTGTTCCTTTCTTCCAAGTGTCCTTTACACTGTAGATTCTGATGGATTGTTTCACTCTCTGTGCCTTCAGGTTTAATTTTCTTTTTTCTATCTGTTATTTTTACAATTTTTCAATGTTTATAATGTTGAGCTACAGGTTAAGGGGGTTGTTTTGTTGAAATATGTACCTTCACTACTGAAAATGGACCCTCACTTTTTCCCCTTGCTTTGCATATTATTAGCTGTAAGTCGAATTACTGGATTTTAGGGTATCTTGTTATACAAAATGCCAGATTTTTTCAAAGTGATAGTACCATTTTACATTGCCCCATACTTGCAGAAGAGAACAATGGCTATATGGAGCATGGTGGTTAAAGCAGAGATATTAAGAGTGCTGTAGTTTCAGGTCTATTATATGATTGAAACAGAGGTTTCGGAGAGATCAGAGTATGACTGTGCATGAATGACAAGCACAGGGGTATTGACTGCAGTGTTCAAAAGAAATGACCTCTCTTATCCCATGACCCCTCTTCTGTTCATACTTCTTTCTTTTCCAATTCTTTCACAGATCCAGTGCTCAATTCTGTTAAAACTATATACAAGTGATAAATGTATATACCTATTTATAACTACTTATATGCAACACCTTCTAATAGACATGAGTCAATAAGCAACAAAATAAAAAGAGCCCCAACCTGATTTCATGAAACTTACAGTTGTGGGTACAAGCTGGGGTAGTGATGCATTTTCATTTTCTAAGTCAGGTATACTAAACGAGTTCTGACTCTCAGAGGTAATCCTTGTTTAGAGACAACTTCCTGAGAAACCTTAACAAAGAATCCCTAGAGAAGGAGACTATGGAGTTTCTGCAGACCACAGCCCAGGTTTCTGGAACAGTTCAGGACAGACACCAGAAGATAAGGGAGCTATATCTAGCCTTGCTCAAGGATGAAACGATACTGTGGGAAAGAAAACCGAGAAAGTCAGAGTTTATCAAACTTCATAATTGACACCTGTAATTCCTATAATGTAGAATTTTGGCATGGCTGTTCACATAATTTGCTAGCACATTGTCCTCTCTGGGTTTGTGAACCTTAACAGTGTGACAGTTGCCCTTCTCTGTAGCTTCTTTTGTAGTTACTGGTCCTTCAAGATTTCCAAGTGTACACTTAAGGATCCACTGCAACGCCTGTAACATCATTAGTCTTGCTCATCTTCTCCTTGGGCCACATCCGCCACCCAGAAACTAAGCTCATCTGAGAGATCAGGAGCAGGAGTACTTGGGAAAGGATTTCCATTGGGGGCATCTTTACAACATTTCATACAACAAAATGAGGTGCCTGATTGTTAATAATCTGAAAAGATAACTGAAGATGTGGCATGACAACAAGATCCTAAGACCCATGAGAAAAGAGTTAAAGTAAGGGCATCTCTTTATTTATTTATTTATTTATTTATTTAACCACCTCTTCTTCTGTTAAGGAAACAGCTATACCCCAGACTAGCTCAGATGGTAGATACAGTTAAAGGCTTTTTAAAATTCTGGCTTCTCCTTATCTGACCTGTTCTTACTGGATTAAGAATGCCTTTGTCCGTTATCACCTCTACAACATTCTCTTTGTGCCCTTAACTGCCCCAATACATGTTTTGAAATTGCACTGTCCACCTGAATCATTATCATTTGTGTCCTCACTTGCATCATTTAATTCATGGTTTTTGAACTGTTTCATATTCTATTAGTCAGTGTTCTCCAGAGAAACACAACCAATATTATATATATCCTTCATTCACATTAAGGAGATTGACTACCAGTAATTGGCTCATGTGATTATGTCATTTGAATAGTTCTAGGCTTTGCTGTCTAGAAGCTAGAGACCCAGGGAAGCTGTCGGTATAATTTAGTTCAAGTTTAAAGCTTGAGAACCAGAGTTGTTGATGGAGTAACTCCTAGTTGAAGGCCAGAAAAAATGTACATCCCAGCTCAAGCAGGCAGGCAGGAAGCAAAAGGAACTCCTTTCTTTCTTCCTCTGCCTCTTTGTTCTGCCCAGGCCCTCAGTCTATTTTACTGAGACCACAGATCCAAAGGCTGATCTTATCTGGAAACAACACCTGCACAGTCACACCCAGAAATAATGATTAATCTGGGAACCCTGTGCCCAGTCACATGGATCCATAAACTTATTCATCACAATTACTTTTCTTTTTTTCCTTTTTATTATGCTAGCGATATAGAGATTATTTGTTAAATAGTATTAGATGACATTGCCCAATACATGACATTTCATTTTGATCTCTGCAGTCCACTTAGGAAAAGTGTAATTTTGTCATACTGAATCTAGGTTCTGAAAGTCAACATCACCATGCTACCACCCATACCACCCAGACCGGTACCTGGGAGAGCCCCTCTGCCCGACCACCTAAAGTAATTTCAAATTTGAGTAGCCATTCCCTCTCACATGACCTAACAGGATACAAATGGGCAGATTCACTTCCTTCAGCTGGTGGATACAGGACAGGAGAGAGCTGCCAGTATCACAGCCTTAAGCGAGACTTCAGCATGGGTCCTCGCTGTGGTAAAAGACAGACTTTTTTCACTTTTCAGGGAACCTCGTTTGTAAGGGAGAAAGATGGGGTTGACCTATGTGACATTACACGCCTTAGGTAAATGTAATTCTTCAAAGATGAATTACTCTGAGAGCCATAAGAACAGCTTCAGGGAGCAGAGTTCAGCTACGAGTAAGAAAGTAGTTGTTGGTAGCTGCTTATTGCTTCACAGATTTTCTCCATTCCTGCCCCTCCCCTAAGAAGTTAACTTTCATTTTCACTCTGCTCCTCTGGATCCTCTTTGTGGACCACAGGCCCCAGGTTTGGGGGTCTGTGGTCAAAGTCAGGTGAATCCCTGACTCTCCAAAGGCTGGAACACTCAGGACTACCCTTCAGGTAGGAGAGTCAAGCCCAAGACTACCCCTCAGGCTGGAACTCTAAAATGAGTGAATGGGAATTGTTCCCAGGAAGATTGGGGGTGTTTCCTTCTGCTTTTTGTGCAGTGCCTGGCGGGGGGTAGTCTGCCAAGAACACTGTGTTCCACTGTTACAGACCTTGGAGCACAAAACTGCACCTTTTCACAGCCCGGGCATCACAACAGGAGCTCAAGGGGTGTCCCATTTGAGGGATTCCTAGGCCCAAATGTTCAGACAGGGTCACAGTGGTGGAAGCAGCTCCTGTAAAGTCTCAATGGTGGCAAAGGGGTGATGACCCTGGGAGAGAAGTGTGGGACATGGGCACTCCCTGGTCATCTCTGAGTGGCTGCAGCAGGGGGATGGGGCAGACATAACCAGCAGCACCTACAGGTTAGAGGGAGATGCAGCCCCCACGCTGACAAGGTATTGGCTGGATCAGCACTGTCACCCACATCCCTAATCTCTGCCTTTGGTGAGAGTCCAACCAGCTTCCACTTCTGCAAAAGATGAATCGCCTTCATGGTCTATGTACTTCTCAAACTTCTGCCTCTGCCCCACATCCTGAGGTAGGTTCTTTAAGTCCTGTGCAGGAGCCATTAAAGAAAGGACCTCTGTGCCCTATACCCTTAGGGTTCTCCTGGGCATATTAAACCTTGTTTGTTTTGAAGGCAGATGTTTCATGGGCTTGGTGTTCTGATATAGGTTCCTGAATTAGGTAGCACAATGTGGGGCACAAACCCATAGGTCCTCCGGGGTGGTCTAGGCAGTTGTGATATCCCTTCAGTGCAGACACCACTCCTGTTTCCATATCTAGCATCTCCCTGCCTGCTCTGGAGTCCTGGAGTCACTCCTTAGGTTGTGAGGCATCAACCTCCATCTGTGATAACTCAAGCTCCTCTGCACTTTCCTCGTCTGTGTCCTGCAGCAGCAAATGATTTGACCTTAGGTCCTTGTAGCCATGCTATAGAAATAAATTCTATAGCCCCTAGGCAAAAATACATATCCTGCTCCTTTTTTCTCTATAGGCTTTTGTTGTGTCTCAGGATTGGTTGGATCTTGAATGGAATGACAAATAATTGAAAGTTTCTTCCCCATGTTTGGATCATGCTTGAGTCACAAACAGGGGTAGACATTATTTAATATCTACTTCTGATGCATTGCCTACTTCTGATCTTGCAGTTTATCAGAGCCTGATCTGAACCATAGTCTCTGCAGCCAGGCTACCTGCATAGGCTTCTGGGCTGTTTTCAGTATCTGGACATCTGCTGTAATACACTTCTGGTTCTCCTTCAGCCTCATTCCTTATCGGGTTCCCTTCATATGTGATGGACATGGTACCAGTGGACAGTGTCAGTAGATCTAAATTCATCTTCATACTGCCTTTATAATATTTCCCTTTCTAGCACAGAGCTAAAAGAAAATGTATTATGTCATACTACAGATATTTCTTTTACCATCAGTCTTAGTAACCATTGAGACATAAATATCTACTGAGATTTTTTTCTTTCTTTCCTTATTGCTTTCTAGTCCCATTTACTTGGAGCACCTGAGAGAACTCCTGAGCCTAAACTGTGGCCACAGGGCCATTTTGAGTCCAGGTGGGAGAATGAGCATCACTGTGCTACCACTGGTGCTACGACTCTGATACCCTCTCTGACTGACTATCAACATGATTACCAATTTGGATTATCGTTCTCCTTCATGTGATCTGATAAGATATAAACTTCCAGGTCACTTAGCTGAGATAGGGATATAGGACAGGAAATGGCATGTCAACAATGGCTGCCTCCAGTGAGCTCCCAGTGAAGGTCTTCACAGTGCTACAGAAGGTCCATTATTCCTGTTATTTCAGCCTTTTAAGAAGCCAGACTTAGTGGACAGGTGTGAAACTACCATAGGTTATGTAAGCCCAGAGCTAGAGTATACTATTTACTTTGTGAAAGCTCATAAGCACAGCATCCAAGGGTCTAAAACAGACAGTGTTGGTTGTAAAAGTCACCCTCTCCTTAAGAAAAATGAAGTCTTAGCTTATTAACTGGCAGCTGAGTTCTACAGGAAGTCCTCAAAATGCACTTTCCACATGAGGCTATTTCGTTATCAATCGTATGGCTTTATGAAGCTGACCTTCTGCTTTATTGTAGCCTCATAAGTTTTTCAGAAAATGAAACAAAAACCAAATACCCAACTTATTAGAAGAGTAAGCCAATATTACTTCTATAGAAAGAAAGAGCCTGATGTTGACTCTTTATTCCCAGGGACCTAATCTAATGGCCATTTTTTCTTCTTACCCCTATCCTATGTCTTACTCTCTTCCCTGTTCTCTATTTACTTCATTACCTTGTCCTGAAATCTATCATCTTCTCTCCCCTGGGCAACTGCATGCATCTGACTCATCTTCCCATTTCTGCAGTGGATCCATCTAACACATGACCACACAAGGGCAAAGCTAATCATGTAAAACATGATAAGGGTAAAACATGGATAATTTCTTTTGCTGTTGGAAAAGAGCCCCTAAATGTCACGTAATTGGGGAAGTGCCATATATCATGGTCATTGGGAGCTTATGGGATTCCAAAGGGCTAGTGGTTTTTGGCATACCAGCTGTACTGTCATTTCTAAATTCAGACAGGGTGGTACATCTTTTATGAACAGGTCATTTCTTTACCTATTACATTTTTCCTCACTTATATGCCATATTTCCTTCATCTTCTTCAGCTTTCACTTCAACCCATATGTTTTCAAGTTGGAGTTGCTGGACAACCAATTATTTGCCCCCATTATTAGATTTCCCAACAACATGCACACCTCTCTAGTAGTGTTTTTCACATCAGTATATATATATATATGTGTGTGTGTGTGTGTGTGTGTGTGTGTGTACATATATAAAAATGTAATTCGTATAAATATATGAATATATATATTTATATAAATATATAAATAAAATCTGGCTGATGATTTAATTCACTGTTACTTTCAAAGTGAAATTTAGGGTAATAGTGATTTAATCTCTCTGTTTAGGCTCATCTTTTTGTTTGTGGGTATTAGTTTAGTTGTTAGCATGTAATTTATAGTCATTAACAATTAACTGAATAGTCTTACATGATATTTTGAGACTTTGTTCCCAGTACTGGTATTTATTTCATCTGTGTTCTCATTTCCCCAGGTATGTGACTTGTGTGATCCTATGAGTATATTATACTCTCTCCCTCCCCACCATCCACATCAACACACACCTTTGGGCTCCTATCGATGTCTTTGGTATATTTCAGGACATTAAATTTTATCATTTATCAACACAAGACTTCTTCAAACCTTCTAAATTACCTGTTTTGTCTTTGATTAACTTACTAAGGTAGGAGCAGACCCCTGAATACAGTAGGCTCATCGTGACTCTGTGTATCAAAGATAAATAATCTTCTTACGTCACTTACTGTCTCTATGTACACATCTGATAAAGGGTTTGCTCTTGTCACATACATGAACACATTGTCACATATTTTGTCCTCATAACAAGTCATTTCAAAATACAGCAAATGATAGCAATGGTTACACTGTAAATAAGCAGTCAGAGCATGTCTTTCCAATAAATGAACATGTAAGGAGAGAGTTAAGTGGACGTTGAGAGTGAATCCTACTTATACCAGGGGCAGCACTGCATACTGAGAGAAGAGTGGGTATAAAAGCCCAGCCGCATAGGTGGTTTGGTGTTTTTATCATTGAGGATGTGTTTTGCACCAAAACACATGTGTTTTGGTATCACATGGATGTCTTTTTGCATTGAGGATGAGAAAGAAGTGGGTGAGATGTTGGGTCACACAAGGATCTTGGTAGGAAGGGTTCATATCATCCTTCTGTTGTGTAAAAGCGAAGGATAGTAATAACCACTGCACAGATAAAAATGAAATTTGTCATGTCAGATGAACTAAAAGTATTTAAAATTGTATGAATTGTCCTTTTACCAGGTCACCAAGCTCCTTTCCTTGTTTCTCTACCTTTTCTTTTTTGTTCTTCAGTATTGTTCTTGCCCTGTGCTTAATTTATAGAGTTAGCATAATTTATTCCTACCTTTCTCACTCTGCTCCCTTTAACCTTTCCAATCTGGCAGAAATCTGTGAGTCAGAGCAACCTCAGATCAGGACAGATAGGAGCAAGGGGAGCAGCTGCGATGGCTTCAGAAATCCTGGTGAACATAGAGGAGAAGGTGACCTGCCCCCATGTGCCTGGAGTTCTTGACAGAACCTCTGATCCTGGACTGTAGGCAGAACTTCTGCTAAGCCTGCCTCACTGCAAACACCAAGAGGTTCATGGTCAGTGAAGAAGGAGAGAGCAGCTGCCCTATGCACCAAAGCCATTACCAGCCTGCAAACCTGCGGCCAAATTGGCATGTGGCCAACATAGTGGAGACACTTAGGGAGGTCAAGTTGAGCCCAGAGGAGGAGCAAAGGACAGATCTCTGTGAGTGCCATGGAGAGAAACTCCTGCTATTCTGTAAAGAGGACGGGAAGTTCATTTGCTGGCTCTATGAGAGGTCTCAAGATTACCAAGATCACCACACTTTCTTCATGGAGGAGGTTGCCCAGGAGTACTGGGTAACAGACCAGGATGGAGGAAAGACAGGGCAGAAAATAGTACTTGATGTGAAATCTTTACTTTTGTTATAGAATGGACCTGTTTGGGGGCCAAGATACTGTTACAGAAACAAGCCCCTTCCCCCCACCTCCTTGGGTCTTTCTGTTCTAGATTTGTCCTTGCCCACCACTAGTCTAAACTGTGACTCTCAATGCCAGTTTGTGAAAAGGAAAGGAACTCTTAATTCAAAAGTTACACAGGTTTAGAGTAATGGTAGAATGTTGCACTTAAATTTCAAAGTCACTTTAAAACACTCACAAACACACAGCCTTGCCTTCCCCTCTTTGCCCAGTAAGACCAGCCTCAGAATATGCCAATCAGAAGTACCATCCTCCAAAAGAAAAAAAGAAGTCTGCAGCATCATCAACTGTGTCACTGTGATCTTCAGTTCTTAATCCAAAACCATGTGGCACCTCCTCATGGAGCTGCCAGTGAGAATCCTTTCACCCTCTTTTGCATGACATGGTCTCAAATTGTTCCCCCGGGGACCCTTATGGCAACCTGCCTTTAAATCCCAGCCTGGAATCTCCTCCATGATCCCACTTTTCACCCCTCCCACAATTGGCTACACCTACTAGCACTCCCATATTCTCTGTCTTTCTTGGTTGCCATAGTTATTTCCTGCAGGCGTGGCCCTGTGGTGTGGAGCAAACCATTTCCCAGCTCTGGCACAGGTGCTGTAACTGGGGGAGATGCCTCCCAGTTACAACATGGGTTAAAGTCATACATACCTTTTTGGCTCCACTCAGACTGGGAGACTAGTCTGCTATTCTTGATATCCAAAACAACCATTTCTGCATATAGGTATGAAGCTTGTCTGACATTATTGATACACAAAACAACTCTCAATCCTTGTGTTGCTGCTTTTCCCAGCCCCCAAGATAGACTACTTTGATCACATTTCTTCCTATGCTCACCTTCCCAGGCCCAAAGGACTTTCCTGTACATTCCATACGACTACAAAATGATGAGCAGACTCAAACAAGAAGTGGATATTTCTATAGCTTGTGCTAATAGGTGGAGGTTTGGTGCCCAAGTAGAGCTGTCCCTGCCCCTTTGAACAGGAGGGGTAAGTGGGCAGTTGGGTTGACTGATGCCTAAATTCTTTCCTTACTACAGGATCAGGTTTCTTCTAGGACAAAGAGAATCAGTCTTCTCCTGACATGGGAATGGTGGCTTCTATTACATGAGTCTTAAAGAACACATTCACCACATCAAAGTTCCTTCAAGTCACAGATTTTAATTTCTATTTCACGGTTCCTGTAAACTCTGGTCTCTTCAGAGATCAGCTTGATTGGTTTCCTTATTTGCCCTCTATTCCAGTATTCCCCAGCCTTTTTGGCACCAGGGACCTGTTTTTCCAGAGAGAGGTCAGGGGCCGGGACAGGAAGCTAGCTCCGTGGTGGGGGGCAGGGTGGTGTGGAGCAGACTGGAGGCAGAGCCCAGGCTAGCTTCACTAGCTGGCCACTGTTTGCCTCCGGCTGTGGACAAGGGCGGGCTGTGGGGGTGGTGTCTGAGACAGGAGGTGGAGTTTAGGAGCTCAATCGAGCTTCCCGAGCTTCCCAGGAGGGACTCATGCACTATTCTGTTGCTGAGAATGACCATAGCTAGCTTCTGGTGTGGCTCCTCCCTCAGGAAAAGTTGCAGGCAGCTCTGGACAGGCTGAGGACTCAGCAGCAGAAAGCTGAGAAGTTGAGCACTGACATTAGAGAAGAGAAGACTTCCTAGGAGGTAGAAGGAGAATCTTCCTGAGGGAGTTAGACAAGAATCTGCCTGGAGTCTTAGTCCCAAGGAGCTCTTTGCCTTCTGTTACTTGACAGTTGATAAGTCTGGTCACTTACTAAGCATTCTTTATCCTTTTCCTAATAGGGATGGGGCTGAAATAGAACCTGTCACAAATTAACACAGATATTTGTAGGTTAGTGATTCTCAGACTCTCTGGTGAGAATGGCTAGTGACTTCTGTGTTCATTTCTGTCATCATTATTTTGAGCCTTGAACTCTTCCAGGGGAGTACAGTGTTCAGTGGTTCATGGCTCTGTCCCCTGGTGCTCAAAGTTAGCTGAGGGTGGGTATGGGGGTCAGGAGTAATGCAGGGGAGCATAACTGTTCTGGGCAGCTGTGTAAAAGCTGACCCACACCAAGTGTCCTATTTTATTTAGGGTTGGCTTCAATAATGTGGACTTGAGGCCTTTATTTTGGAATGTGATGAAGAGAAAGTAATAGGAAAAAGTAGCGTTCCCCAAGAATTGCTCTCCTGCTTCCATTTCTCTTCCCTGTGAGAACTTCCAAATCAAATACTTCTTCTGGCTTCCAGTCTCTACCTAACAGCCCGAGTCCCTCTCTCTTTCTCATTCCTGAAAAATCAAATACAAAATGAGAGCCGAAGTGTCCAGGACTGTTTTAAACAACTGAGAGGCATCCTGGATACTGAAGAGCAGAAGGAGCTGCAAAAGCTGGCAAAGGAGGAGGGAGATGTTTTCTGTGACCTGGAACAGGCTGAGAGTGAGCTGGTCCAGCAGACCCAGGTGTTGAGATATCTCATGTCAGAGCTGGAGCATCAGTTGCAGGGGTCAACAGAGAAGATGCTGCAGGTAAGACTTGGAAAGAAGCCCCAGCACCTGAACTGAGGAAAATGAAGAGTAAATTTCTTGCTGTGATGTGTGGCTGTGCTGTTTCTGGTGGTGACACTGAGGTTCTCATGGTCTTTCATTAACCTTTTCCTACATCTATTTCAGAGGTTATAGGAATAATTGAATGTGTCAATAATAAGGGAAAAACTCGTTTTTATTAACATATCAATTGTAGTGCAAAAATTTGACTTTGGAGAGAAGATTCATTGTTTCTAATTATATTCTATAGGCCCCTATATCTGTGATCTAGCCTAGAACAGTTTTCAGAAACCTCCTTGGGTCCCAAGAGTTTTGTTTTTGTTTTTGTTTTTTCCTCATATAATGAGTTGAGGTTTTTTCCTCATGTGTATTTTTTAATAAGAAACTATGAAAGATCAGTATTATTTATTCTTTAATAATTCAGTAAATTCACCAGTGGAACCATCTCACTCTGGGCTTTTCTTTTTTGGAAAGGATTAAAATATGAATATATTAAGTTTTCTTAAGATTTTTTACATTTCTTGAGTCAGATTTTGATAAAGCACATTTTTGTAGAAATATGTCCATTGTAAGTTGTCAGATTTGTAAACATGAAATCAGTCATTATAATTCCTTAGAATCTCTTTCATTACTTTTTAATAGGATTTATTTCTCTTTAGGCAGAGGGGAAGGGAGGTAGAAAGAGAGGAAGAGAAATAGCAATGTGTGGTTACCTCTCACACACCCCCTACTGGAGACCTGGCCTGCAACCCAGGCATGTGCCCTGATCTCAGAATCAAACAGGCATCCCTTTGATTTGCAGGCTGGTGCTCAATCCATTGAGCCACACCAGCCAGGGCAGAATCTCTTTCATTTTTACAGTACTTTCAGTAATGTCTCATTTTTTCTTTCTTATAAGGTGACTTCATTGTTGTTGTTGTTATGTTTGGTTAATTTTATCGTGTTTTTCAAGAATAAACTGATTAGTTTTATTGATTTATCTGTATTTCACCTTCCTATATCTGCTCTTAATTACATCGTTTCCTTGTGCTAGTGTATATGCACATTTATACATAAATCTGTATATGCATTTGTGTGTATTGTATTTAATTTGCTGTTTTATAGTTTCTGAAAGTGAGAATTTAGACTAGTGATTTGACACAATCTTTCCTTATCATTTTAATGATATAAATATGTTAATTTTGCTATATTTTATACTTCTGGATTATTTACTTGTTATTTTGATTCAATCTAACCTATTTTCAAATTCCTTTTGTGATTTTTTCATTGTTCAAGTCTTGGTATCTTTGAAACTAATGTGTAATCACGCTTTTTTATGTGTAATAAAACATTTATATTATTATTTCACTTATTAAATGTATTGACACTTGCTTTATAACCTAAAATGTTAAATATACAAAAACTTTATAAAAATTTAAAAAGAATGTGTATTGTGCATCCACTGTGTGAAAGGGTCTATAGATGCCATTATAATTTTTTTTTCTTAAAACCTTCTTTCTTATCTGGGAAGTTCCTTGTGTCTCCTTCAATTCTAAGCGATAGCATTGCTGGCTAGAGTAATCTAGGTTGTAGGTCCTTTCTTTTAATCACTTGACTAATGCCAATCCCTTCTGGCATGTAAAGTTTACATTGAGAAATCAGCTGCTAATGTTATAGGAAACTTCATAGGTAACCAACTCCTTTTCCCTTGCTGTTTTTAAGATTCTCTCTCTGCATTCCTCACTTAGTCTTTTTTATGCTTTCTATCTAATTCATTATGGGTCCTGTCTTTTTCTAGAAGTTCTCACTGGCATCATCTATTCTTTCCCTAAGTTAAGTGAGCCTTTTTATAACAACTGTTTAGAATTCTGCATCTGGCTTCCATTTTGTTTAGTTATTTTTCTGAAGTATTTTCCTGCTCTTTCATTTGGGACATGTTTTTTTGTCTTCTCATTTTGGCTGCTTTCCTATATTTACTTCTATGTACTAAGTATATCTGCCATGTCTTCCAGTCTTGGCTGAGTGGCCTTATGAAGTAATATCCTTTGCCATTTTTGTATTCCCCTGAGTGCAGAGCTCTAGGGGTGTCTCTAGTGTGGGTTGTATGGGTTCTCCCACTGTAGTTGAGCCTTAATTGCTGTTGGCACATCTGTGGCTGGCATTGACCCTCAGGCAGAGTGACTGAGGAATGTCATTGACTCCAGTGAAGAAGTTGACCCCAAGGGGTGGGATGCACTTTAGTTGGGCTCATGTGCCTGCTGTGTCCACCTTTTGGGTATGTCATTTGTGGCCCTAATTGGGTGGTACTCTGGTTAGTCTGAAGCTGGACACCAGGTGTATTCATTCTTATGCTTCTTTGGAGAGGCCCTGGTGTGAGCCATGGTTAGCCACTTCCTTTGTCAGAGCACCACCTATTAGGAGCAACAAAGTGATCTGTGGTTGGTGGTTCCCATACTGGACTTGGAGATGCTAAGCTGTTAACCAAGGTCAGCTGCCACTTCTGCCACCCTAGGACTGCTTAGCAAGAGGGAAAGGGCACACCGAGGCCACCACTGCTTGTTTGGGGTTTGTGGACCTTTAAGAGAATTTAGGAAAGTTCAGTTTAGACTCAGTCAGAGGCTTGAAATGGGTGTAGTGGAGTCTCAGAGAATCACCTGGATAGGGCAAGATTGGTGTCAGCCTGGTTAATGGATTCAGGTTTGGCCCTGGCCCATGCTGCTGGCTGTGTATAGACAGGGCTCCACAAGAGAACCATGGCACCTGCCAGCACGTTAATCCTTGGGAGAGGTGCCCCACCAGCCCTCCACCTGAAGCCAAACAATTCAGTTTCTCCCTGTATGTCTCTGGCACTTCACAGGCTTCTGTCTCTTCTCTGGAACTTAGGACAAGTGTTGTAAGGAAGTGACTCTGTCCTAGGGTCCTTAAAGAAGATGCCCGGTATTTCAGTAGCCCTCCATCTCACCTGGACTGAGTCTGTCCTGGATTTGACAGTCAGATGTTGTGGAGACTCTTCTTCCCAGCACTGGCACTCTTGGCTGAGAAGCTGGATGTGGTGCTGGGACTTCTCATTTCTCAGGTTATACCTCTGCAGCCAATGTATTTCTACTATTTCTTACCCTCCACAGAAGCGTATATTACCACCCAGTTTTGTATGAGCCCCTCCTACTAATTTGGAGCTGGCTTCTTCTCTACATATTTAGTTATAGGAGTTTTGTGTAGTTCCTTTTCATGTGGTTCTCAAGGGTGGCTATTCTTTATTTATTTTTTTAAAAAACATATTTATTTATTTATTTTTAGAAGGGAAGGAGAGAGGGAGAGAAATATCAATGTGTGGTTGCTTCTCATGTGTCTCCTGCTGGGAACTGGCCCTTGCTGGGAACTGGCCTGCAACCCAGGCATGTGCCCTGACCGGGAATCGAACCACAATCTTTTGGTTCGCAGGCCTGTGCTCAATCCACTGAGTCACACCAGCCAGGGCAGGGTGGCTATTCTTTAATTTAATTATAATTTTCATATGGTTGTGGAAGAAGACAATTCAAGCTTTTTCCTGTTCCACCATTTTGACTGGAATTCTGTATTTTTTCTTTTGCTATATTTATATCTTTGAATCCAAAATATCTCTTGTAGCTAGCAATTGTACAAAAATCTCTGCCTTTCAATTGGTGGACTAAGACAATAACATTTAATGCAATTGTTGATGTAGCTCTATTTAATTTATATTATATTATTTGCTTCTATACGTTTCCAGAAATTTTCATTTTTCTTTTCCTCATTGACAAGCTTCTTTTGAGTTCAACAGTTATTTTTAGTATAAAATTTTGTTTTACTACTTCCTATTTTTTGGTGGTTGCTTTTCTAAATATAACATGCATCCTATTTTATCATGGTCTACTTCAGATTAATACAAAATTAATTCCAGTAAAATGTGGATACTTGCCTCCGACATTGCTTTCTATGTTACAGCAACAACACGGAGATGCTTTAATATGGGCACTGATCTAATTCAGGCCATTGCCATGCATGCCTCAGACTTATTTGATATAATGGGAAGACAAGTTCTCTTTTTCTCAGGAATTTATGGAAGGAGATTCATGTTGTCTTCATGAACTGAGGAGAAAGTCAGTACAGAAAACATAAATCGAATTTGGAGAGTGACATAGACCAAATCCTGAGGGCAGTGTTTGAGCTTCAAAATTAAGCTTTGATTAAAATTAAAAACTCTCCCTCAAATTCTTTTTTTCTACTTCCTCCACTTTTGGTTTTTGTCCTACTGCCACAAAGTACTAATATAGAGAGCAAAGCAAATGTGTGTAGTGTGTGTGTGTAAACCCAGTAGTCTGCCTGGTTTATGGTGTCATGGAAGAAGTTAGTCTGAGATAGAGAAGACCAAATATATTGGTACGTATGTATTCAAAGAAATAAATCTATGATGGTAAAAAAAGTTCAGATGACGAACAATTGTTAACAATGTGGACTAAACTGGCTTGGTAGAGAACGAAATGCAGGTAAGTGTTGTAGTGTTTAGGACAGTGACCAAGGAGATATTAGTAACATGAACAAAGGGGTACAAGGGAGGGAGGAGCAATTTGTTTGGTGGAGTAAAGTACATACGAAACATCCTAAGTTACTGGTTCCTGAGTCTTCTTTACTAGGGAATGTATTAATCTGCATTTAAGAGATAAAATTGAATAAAAATAAAACTTGGAAATCAATTGCACATGTTGAATCTGGAGTGGATGAGGCCAATTATAGACAGTGGTGTATCAAATGAGGAGAGACTTGAGACAATCCTACATTAATGCATTTGTTTTTTGTACCCTCAGCAGAAGTCATGTAAACTTCCTGAGGAATACTCTAACTATTCACCTTTGATTCTCCCAACTATGGCATAATGCTTGACAAGTAATTATACACATCACTTTACATTCACGTTGAATAAGTGAACAAATCATAAATTATTAAAATCATCTCATGAGGAGCCTTATGAACATGGGGAAAATATCATGGGCCTTATGTTTTCTTCCTAAATATATTTCATGTCCAGGTGGTGGAAGCCTCATGCTGTGGTTCCATAAGGTAGAAGTTTTTTCTACCTTTTATTTCCTAAAATGAAAACTTCACATGAGTTTTATTGAATGATTGACTTAGGTATTTTCTTTACTTTTTGGTTCTCACTTTGGGACTATATTTGGGAATAGAGATGTGATGAAGGTTTGTAAGTGAGGACGCTTATTACTTCCTTGACTCATGTTTTCTCTTTTCTGCCTAGGATGTGAATGGCATCATGGAAATGTATGTCGGGAGACCAGAGACGGTCCTTTGGTGCTGTGAAAAGAGGTTTAAAGCCATTAAAGTTATCTGGTGGTTAATGAGAATAAAGTATTGCTCAGGGCAGGAAAATTCGGGTGTAGTTTTTATTTTAAATTTCTGTTCACATATCATGGTTTGCGTTTTCTCTAACTATTGCGAATAGTCCACTTTCTATAGTGGTGATTTTAGGTTAGGATGGGGGATTTGCAGAGTTTAAATCAGCAGCTGTTAGGAATGAGATGTTGCATTGTCAGAGCCATGTGAATTCATCAGTTCTATTCACCCCGCATTCAAGTATGTAACTCAGGTTCCTATATTTCATAGCGACTTTATCTATTATGGGTAAGTTGTGTCTTCTCTACTGCCAAGCACTCAGAATTGGATAGAACTCTTTTTTTAATTTAAATCCTCCCCTGGGAATAGAAAAAACCAGGTCCCTTCCATACAGTTTTCTGTATTGTTCAAAAACACACTTGAATCACAAAGAATATTTTGGCCCTTATGCAAACAATTGATCCTTCTTAACCATGCACTTTTGAAACAAGAATGGAAGGGCAGCATCCTTGTGTCTAAATTTTTATACACACATGGCTGCAGGAAATTTTTAAAACACACAGAATTCTGATGATTATTAGCATGGTATCCACAATGTCTTCTTTTCCAAGTGTTACTCTGTTTTCCCAGAGAACCTGGAATCTCAGATGTTGTTCTGAGAGCCTCCCTAGTTCAGAGCACACTTTAAAGTCTTGATCCTATCTAAACAGGATTCCCTCACTTGATATACCACAAACAACTAGGAACTGGGTTCTGCAACCTCACTTTTGTGTAATATCACTCCATATCCATTTGGTGAGTTTTTCTCACATTATTTTGTTTCAAGGAACCAAAGTTTCCTCTTTAAAAAGATTATGTAATTTTATATGATTTCAAGTGGTAAGAGAGGTGGTGGTTACTTTTCATTTTGAAAGGATTAAACTGTGCTTTTGCAAGGTCAAGGCCTTCCTAAGAACATAGAGTGGGTACTGTAAAGTTACACATGAGCACTTTTCTTTGGTCCCAAAATCAGGACTCTGCTCTCTCCTATCTCAAGGGTCCAGGGAAGGAGGTTCAAGTGCTTAGTGGGGTAAAGAGACAGAAATCAGTAGTTGTGTAGAGCCAAAAAGTCAGAGGTGTGAGAATATTATTTTGTCATCTCTAGAAGACCTGAATTCACTCTGAAGAAGCCAAAAACTGTCTCCAAGAAACAAGGGAGAGTGTTCCAGGCTCCTGACCTGAGTGGGATCCTGCAAGGGTTTCATGGTGAGGAATGCCAGAGCTGGGCGGTGGCTGTGGGATCTGGTGATGGTGGGGAGTAGAAGAGGGAGGGAGGGTTCAGTTTCTAGGTGTGTATAGAGGAGACAAAGGAGGATGGATATCATGTGCTGATGATGTAGCTATAGTTAATGGGGAGTGACCAGATGCCTTGTTCTCCTCTCATTATTCCATTTACTGCCTCACATAGACCCAGTCTTTCCCTGATGTAGACAGTAAGTAGATTGTAGTGCTGACTCCTTTGCTTATATTTATTATGAATTGTTATCATTTCAGAGCTTACAGATGTGCATCAATATCAGGGTAAGTATCATAAACCCTTGTCCTCATTTTCTTTTCAGAATTTTGTGTTTTTATTGTCTCTGATTTTGAGACCTACAATTCCTTACCACATACGTATTATGCTTCACCAGTGTTATACCTATTACCAAGAACAGAACTAATTCTTCCCAGTTTCCACACTACAATGTCACAAACAAAGGCACATCCTATCCCTCATCCAACCCAGTAATATTTCTATAGGTCACATTACCCTGTACTCTCCCAAGAACAAATGAAATGTTGCCACGTCTGCAGATCTGAGACAAGTGACAGATGAGCCCCATTCTGATACAAATAAGAACACTTCTGCTGTAATTGGTGTACCAGTTATCACATCAGGGGAACATTACTGGGAGGTGGATGTGTCAGAGAAACAGGTCTGGTACATGGGGGTATGTGTTTTTAAAAAAGTCTCTGATACCTCTAGCGATCAACCTAAATAGTGTCTTTGGGTTATAGGATTAGAGAATCAGTTTGAACATAATGCTTTTGTGGAATTTTCCCCCTCTGATCCCTTGCAGTTAGCCCTCAGTATGATTGTTCCTCCCTGTCACGATGGGGTTTTCCTAGACAACGATGCTGGCACTATCCCATGAGCTTCTCATCTGTAAATTCTCTTCATGTTCATTTTCTCAGAAAATTGATCCATATTTTAATCCCATGACATGTACTGGCCTCATAACACTGTGTTCTCCAAGCTCTTAAATATTACACCTGCATCTGCTTTGTAGTGCCTCTGGCCTTGAGTGCACCTAACACACTGAGCTTTTCTGCACTATTTTCTCTATTTTTTATTGCTGCGTCTCTTTTTTTCCCATTTCAACATCCTTCATTCAACAATAGAGTTTACAATTTGCCTTGTGTCAAGTATATTTTCCCCAATGCCGTGTTTGTATTAGTAAAGAAACTTAATTCACTGTTTTTATCATCCTAAAGAAAATGACTAATGCATCATAAAAAAAGACCTGTGTGGAGGTGACATCTACACTAAATTCTTACAATTTCATTTCCTGTGCACTGAGAAGAAAAGGGAAAACTCTTCAACAACTTATTTTGTATGTTATTCAAGGTTTTGTAGAGGAAACATTCACTACAAATGAGTTCTCAGTGGCATATCAGTTCAACCATGATGTTCCTTCTTCATCAAAGACTGAAGGAGACAGTGTCATAAATAACAGGTACTAAGTGGAAGGTTTGTGTTCATAGTGTCTGAGTCAAGTCCAATCTCTCCCAATTCATGCAGTGTGACTTTGAATAAGATACTTGAATGCTGGCTTCATTTACTAAAAATTGTCCTGGTATAAAAAACATACCATCATTGGGGTCATTATCAAAGAAAAATGTCATTAAATATGAAACATGTTTAAACCTAATAAACATTTTCTCTACTGATGACTGAGAAGTATAAGCTGTGCCAGTGTCTCATGAAAGAGGTTTGTGCCTTCAGGAGCACGAGGGCGTTTTTTTCTGAAGCCTCATATTTCAGATGCTGGATACCTCTGTGCTGCTGTCCAGATTCTTGCAGCTCTGCCTGTGACAGATGAGTGTATATATGTATGACACCGAGAATTTTATTAGAATTCTGGTTTGCTGCATATTGGCCTTCATCAAATAATCTCCCTCAATAAATTCTATGGGATTTAGTTTCTCATTAGTAAAATTAACAAAATTTGTCTGATTTATCGTGAAAATTAAACAACATAGCAATATTGCAGTAACCTCTCTCATTTTTCAGCAAAAAAGGAGTAATCAAGTATGCAGTCTGTTTACTTCCTGTTCATATCTCACTGTGACTGAAATACATCATTTTAAACATATTATTAGTTTATTTTCAGCATTATTACTCTTGCTTTAAGGAATACAATCACTTGAAAGAGTTACAATTTTCTTTAAATTTTAGCAATTGTAAAATAAATGTTTCTACCATTTCTAGCTAATGAGTCTTCATTTCCCATTTTTCTGGAGTAATTCTATTCTACTAAAATTGTACTTATATGTTAGCTCTGCTTTAAAACCTTATTCATAATGGTCCAATGACTCAGAAGTACCATTGTGGGACTTCTTAACAATGGGAAGTGCAGGGAAGTGTTTTATTGCCCAGGTCAGCTCTACATATTTAGTGAGTTGGAAGTTCTAAAAAACAAAGAGAATAGCCTGTTCTCCTTCCAGTGGGATAGGAGGGCAATGTGTTCATTCAGGACTTGGTGGGATTGCAATGTGTTTCTGCATTTTTATTTCCAACTCTTCCCTAATCAATTCAGAGCTAGAAAAAAAATGTGCTTTTTGGACAAGTATTGTCTTCTCACAGTCCTGATTGTCTCTAGGAATTGCCACCTTCCTCACTTTGGATGACCTTTAATGAGACAAAGGATTCCAACCTGGAAATTTTCAGTACCTCTGTGTTTATGCATATGTTTATACCTTAGTGCTCATTCATAGAAAGTAGGAGAAATTAATCTCTAAAATTTTCCTTTTACCTCTGCCTTCCACCCCATTGCTATTATGACTGAAGCTCTGATTCCAGAAATAGTCTGCACTCTCCAATTATGGACAAGTGACTCTTCAAGGACATTCATGTCTTTACATTCACTAGAATACCCAATTCCGGATGAAGTACTTTTACAAAGAAAGACCTGAACTTTTATATGAAACAGAAAAGGTCTGCACATTTTTAAAAGTTTTTTAATTGTTCAATTAGAGATGTCCCCATTTCCCCCCCATTAGCCTCCCCCTCCCCTACCCACCCCCACCTCCCACGTTCAATCCCCCCAATCCCCGATGTCTTTGTCCATGACTCCTTTATACCTGTTCCTTGACTGGACCCTTTTTCTTTCTCCCATTATCTGTCCTCCTCCCTCTTGGTCACTGTCAGTTTGTTCTGTATTTCCATGTCTTTGTTTTATTTTGCTCGCTTGTTTGCTTTGTTGATTAGGTTCCACTTATAGGTGAGATCATACGGTATTTGTCTTTCACCACCTGGCTTGTTTCACTTACATAATGCTCTCCAGTTCCATTCATGCTGTCGTGAAGGATAGGAGCTCTTTCTGCTTCGTAGTATTTCATTGTGTAAATGTACCACAGTTTTTTGATCCATTCATTTACTGATGGGCACTCAGGTTGTTTCTAGCACTTGGCTGTTGTAAATTGCTCTCCTATGAACATTAGGGTGCATAGGTTCTTTTGAATTGGTATTTCAGCATTCTTAGGGTGTATTTTCTGCCATGGAATTGCCAGGTTTAAGGCATTAGCATTTTTAGATTTTTGATGGAATTCCATACTGTTTTCCACAGTGGTTGCACCAGTCTGCACTCCCACCAACAGTGCACTAGGGTTCCCTTTTCTCCACATCCTCTCCAACACTTGTTTGTCAATTTGTTTATGACATCCATTCTTACCAGTATGATGTGGTATCTCATTGTGATTTTAATTTGCATCTTTCTGATGGCTAGTGATGTTGAGTATCCTTTCATATGTCTCTGGATCCTCTGGAGGATTGAATATGGAAGGTGAGGGGTGAGCAGGGTGGGGATGAATAATGGGGCAGAAATGGGAACAACTGTAATTGAACAACAACAACAAAAGACACAAAAAGAAGAGTACTTTTCAATGGAGGAAGTTAGTGAGTTTCCAGGTCAGCGTTAATTACGCTTGAAAATTTTATGAGCCATTTAAGTGAGTAGATATCTAAAAGGCAATTGAATGAAGAACTCAGAATTAGACAGGCCTAGTTTTATATCCTGCATCTACTACCTGTCTTTCAGTAATCTTTTAAGTCTAAGTTTTCTCATCTGTGAAATGAATTAACTAATATTGTCTTTTCATAATTATTTAAATAAAAATATTAATACTCATAATGCAAACCAAAGGTAGTAAAACTTTCTTTGGAGATGCAATTGAAAATAGATACAAAAGATAATCAACCCTATGTAATCAGAGATGGGTAGGAAATAACTAACTAAAGGATGCAGGGGAAGGAATTAATAATGTATAGAATCAGGATTGAAGTGTGAAGGAGTAAGTTTGATAGTTGTAGTACAGAGAACTTATAGGTACTAAAAGAGGAAAGACAAAGATTTTTGTTTAACTAGGAAACTGAGAAACAGGGATGAGTTGCATGTTAGGAAATATCTCAAAATCAGCATTATGAAAAATGTGAACCTTAGTCTTCTCTACCCATCATCACCTTCTTCATATAAATGGAAAGAAAACTAAACCAAGAAAACCCTTGATTTTCTATAAGCCTCAAGGATTTTCTTTCTATTCTCTTCAGTTTCTATTTTGCACATGGGTAAAACTATAAAATATCAAATTAATAGGAGTTACAGCTTTATTTTTATGCCTTCCTGTGTTATATAAAATTTCACCTAATCAGTGTTACCTAAATTTATCGTTCAGTGGCCCACGCCACTTATGTTTTCTTCAAAGAAAAAAGGAGAATAAATTTGTCCTGAATCTGCTTGGTCTTCACTCCATAAACAACAGGATTGAGAGCAGGAGGAACAGCCACATAGAGATTGGCAAGTAGGATTAGCATGTTTCGAGGGACACTGTGCCCAAAGCGATGAGCAAGGATGGAGAAGAAGGCAGGTGTATAAAACATGAGGATAACACAGACATGAGAGCCACAGGTGCTGAGGGCCTTTTGGCGGGCACCCTGGGATGAGAGGTTAAAGACAGCACGGAGGATTAAAGTATAGGAAACAGCAATAAAGATCACATCTGAGATGACAGTCATGAGAGGCACAGCAAATCCATACCAGATGTTGATGGATATATCAGCAGAGGAAAGCCGAGCAACTCCTATATGTTCACAGTATGTGTGTGGGATGATACGTGTCCTGCAGAAGGGTAAGCGTTTCAGCAGAAAAACATCTGGCAGGATAACAGAGAAGCTCCTCACAACAATGCTCACCACAAGCTTGATGATCACCTGCGGAGTCAGGATGGCGGTATATCTCAAGGGGAAGCAGATGGCCACATAGCGATCCAGTGCCATGACTAACAGAATGGCTGAGTCCACTACAAAGCTGAAGTGGAGGAAGAACATCTGGGTGAGACAACCAGAGAAGGTTATTTCCTGGGAGCCAAGCCAGAGGTTGCTGAGCAGTTTGGGCACTGTGGCAGTGGACAAGACAAGGTCTGTGATAGCTAGCATAGACAGGAAGAAGAACATTGGTTCATGGAGGCTGCGCTCAACTGCAATGAGGTAGAGCAGGATGCAATTGCCCACAATAGCCACAACATAGATAACACAAAAGGGAATCCCAATCCATACGTGGAATTTCTCCAGGCCTGGTATTCCCACAAGGATAAAGGAACTGGGGTTGTAACAGCTCAGGTTATACATGATCTCTTCAGTGTAAGATCCACTGGCTTTTGATCCCTGAGGACAAACCAGATGTCAGAATGGGCTATGAAAAACAACAATTCCAATCTGGTAATGGACATGGCTGAAGACTGCAACTGTCACATTCAGGGTGTCTACATGCTAAGCACCTCCTCTCCCCTAGATGACCTGGCACCTATAGAGTTGACCCATTATTGTCCCTTTTCTTTGCCATTAGCCGTTCATCTCCATATATATTATATATTTCTAAATAAACCATAAGAAAAGGTAATTTTTGTAGGTAAGCAATTTTATGTGATTAAACCTAAGTAACTGTGTTCCTATCTTAATGCAGATTATGTAGAATAAGGCCAGAATCAAATTTTAAAATATGCATAAAGAGAAGAAAGAGAGATTTAAAATATTAAATGGGGAGTGACAGACCTTTATAGAGAACATACTATGTTTTAGACAATGGATTTGATGAAATAAGGTGAAGAGTTTCAATAAAGCTGCAAAAAAAATAAAGGAGAAGGAAAATTAAAGGACAGATTCCAGTGCCGTAAGTGGTATGAGAGCTTTTTACACACAGTATTAAAAATACAATTCAGATTAGGATAGATGCTCACTGGGATGTGAATTTAATAAGAGAATGTATCTACTAGAAAATGGTCAGGGACAAGAGAAAAGCGCTCCCCTGACTCGGGCAGACAGCAGTGAGGTTAGAGGATAATTTATGGTTTCAGGGGCAATGCCCTCAACCTTGGAGGATCTCTGTTTCCTAACATTAGTAGGGAAGATAGCTCTACCCATTAGTCACACTGGCAACGCCCCTATAACAGATATTAGCCAATGCGATTTGGTTCAGGCAAAGTCAAGCAAGGCAGATTCTTACCTCATAGAGATAAAATAAAGAATAATAGAGATGTTGGGCCCCAGTGTTTTCATTTCTAGTCTGTAAGACTTGGAACCCATCTTTGGGAATCTCCAGATTTGCACTAAATAGAACCTGCCTTTGAAGGTGCCTTTTGTATTGAAAATATCCTTTGAGATTTAACTCCATTGTGTGATCTATTTTATAAGTACTTTTGAGAAGAGAATCAGTAATGGTGTTACTGGAGTGAAGTATTGGAGAAGCCCAGTACAACCTGAGCCATCCTAAGACCAGTTTTGGAGAGAGTTAGTTCTTACCCACCCAACATAGTTACAAAGTCATTCAAAAAGCTTTTAAAAAAAGAAAGTAGATTTTTATGGTTAAGGTAAAACAGGTCTATATTATTGCATTTGGCAAGAATCTGTAGTTCTGTGCACAAAGGGAAAAGATTGGGTTGAGACATAGCATTTATGATATCTTTGACAGGACCCCAGAGTTTAACGTAGTGAGATTCTCTCATTTAGAAAATGCTTCTGTCATTGCCAGAGTCCACAAAGTGAATGAAGCCTTAGGTAGCCAAAGTGAATGAAGCATCTAACTAGGAGGAATGTAACCAGCTCCCCCTGTCCAGAGGCAGTCCTCATCCCACCCCAACCCCTTTTCCCACATCCATAACAAGGTATAGTTTGCTATATTTCCATGTTTGATGCAGACTAGACTCCTACAGGCACTGAGCTTGTTAGAACGATGATAACAGAGTTAATGAAATCCTCTCTAAAATGATTGTGACATCATCTGCTGTAGCATGAAAGTCAGATTAAGTCCAAAAATGTCTCTGTAATTTAGGCTACATTGCAACCCCATATCTTAGAGCACAGATTCACTGCCTCCTGATGAGGAACTCATTTCCTCTGGGTTGCTGAGAATAAATTTAAAGGGGAGAAAAATAAACCACTTATTATAAAAACTACAAAGAAGGTGTCAAATGAAAACATCCTGCTGCCTCAGTCACAACCTATCCTGACCTCAGTTCCTTTACCCCAATGCTCTTCTTTTCTGTTGAATTCCCTGCTGCAGTAATGATCATTTTAGTTGGTCCACACTTGAAAGCAGCAGCTTTCTGCCAGAGTCTATCAACTTATGGAATCAATGCTGTCAGAAGGGCTCCTTCTACTAGAGTCACATTTTCAAGGTCACAGACCCAACTTGGCCAATGGGTAAATGCAAGGCTACCTTGTTAAATAAATCATAGAGCCAGTGTAGGGCTTTCCTCTTCCCTGATTGACTGTAGTTCTTTACTCACCAAACGTCTTCTGTCTCTTGCTTTAGGAGTAGTGGGGATTATCTATTTAAAAGGAAGCAAGTACAATTTTAGGCTGGGAGAAGTTCTGTAAGACATGACAAAAGCCACATTTATGTAGTTTCTTGTATTCCTAGGAGATAGATCATATAGGCTTCTCCATTTCCCATTCCCTGACTAGATGAACTCTACCACATTAATTCCTTTCCCTTGAGATGGAATGACCTTGGTGGTTTTAGTAGGCTGTGGCTATGGGGTCCCAAGGAGATACAGTCTAGACAATTCAGACACAGTCAGTTGAGACAAATTCTCAGAGGCTTAAGTATGTCCTTGAATTTGAGGTATTTTTTAATTATTCTGTTTGTATTAACTTTCACCAATACTGAAAAATGCATTAAAAAATTTCTAGGCATGATATTGGAAAGTAAGACCTTCAAGTTTACTTCAAAAATTTCTTAGCCATATTTTACACTTTGCATTTCCATGCAAGTTTTACAAGCATTTCTCAATTTATACACACACAAGTTTTTATTTCGTTTGCATTGAATCAACATATTACTATGAAAATACTTGATATGTTTATAATACTGAACATGTATATTATAAATATATGCCTACATCAATGTAACCTTTTAATTTTCTTAATAATTTGTTAAAACACTAACTTGAAAACATATATGCCCCCATATATTTATTGCAACATTATTTACAATAGCCAAGATATGGAAAAGAACTTTTGAGATTCATTCAGTGGCTAAATTTAATGGGTAGCTGATAGGTGACAGCAGTTCTCAGGGTTCCTTGGATCTTTGCTGGCATGTCTGAAGCCCAGTACTGGTGGTAGTAGGCCTTGTCACACAGCTTGACCCTATCTACTTGCACCCAGGCCCATCAGAGTCAGCTATCAACCATGGAACACTCTGTATCTTCTAAAAGAAGGGCCAGGGCCAGTCATGGGCAGTGCTTAACATTGATCCACAACAGAATTTCCCGAGGCCTGAGAAACAACACACCAAGTGGCTGGCTTCAGACCACAATAGAGCATTACCTGATTAGCTCCACAAGTCACTTGTGAAACAAAAATAGAAGGAAAAACATACATTTAAATGGGATTCAAGAAAGAGCAGCAAAGGAAACTATATATACATCTATATCTATATATAGTTATATATAGCTTCTAGCAAAGGAAAGTATATATATATAATAACTACATATAGTTATATAATTATAATATATAACTGTGTATATTTTATATATATATATATATGAGAAATATTTAAAGTGATATTAGCCAAAACAGTTTTCATGTAATTTTTTTTACATTTTAAAAATAAAATTATTTTTAATTATAGTCTAGCCAGAGCAACAAAATGTGATGTGGATCCCTACTTGTGGGGTCCTCCACATTGTGGATGAGATACAAGAAATTCACATGGACTACCAAGTCCTGTGGAGGAAAAGAGACAGCATGGCTTTTCTCTCAAGGGGAGAAAAAGCCCCGGCCTCTGCCATGACAGGCTTTCATTTCTTTTTCTGGGCACATTACATGATGGTCTTCATTTACGGCACACAGGTTCACTTTAGGGGGTTACCTTTTACAGAAAACAAAGGAGACATTGCAGTTAATCACATCACAGAAGAAGGATATTTGCAAATGAAAAGGGAAAAGTGGTCAAACCGGTTATACTCATCCTTGGAATGTTTAGAATGAATTTTAGGAAGTTACTTTGCAGTAAATGTTTCTAACTCAATTCAGGGTGAGGGAGTTTTAGCAAAAGCAAGTCACATAACAGTCTAGGTACAATGCAGGCGTGATTCACCACAGGAGAACCTATCTGTGGGTGTGGGTCCTGTGCATCGGACCTTGCTTTCCACTGGGAGCTGGGCCCATGCCATGCAGAATGGTCTCCTACAAAAATGTGGTAGAGAAATATATGGAAGATTAAACGATAATAGCAAAGGAGGGTAAAAAAACATATTTAAGAACAAAAATATGCTGGCATTGTTTGCTTTAAAGTACCACATGTTAAAGAAAACTTATACTGAAGCTGTTTTCTAACAGATATTGTAAGAAGAAAATGATGGCATGCTGACCCAAACAAAAAATAACAATTACAAAGTTTCAAAAACAAAAAAAAATATTGTAGAGAAGGGTCTTGGGCTTGAAGCTACATAGGAGCTGACTCCAACCCTACCATTTAACTAGCTGTATGAACTTTCACATTTTTGAGTCCCAATTTTCTTAGGTATAAAATTAGAGTAAGACCTTGCCTCTCATTCTGTGGCTGTACAGGTAATTAAAAAAAAGGTTAAATAGTTTATTTAAATGAACCTAGTAAAGGTTCTGGTATATTTTAAATCTTTAATAAATTTTCTGTCCCTATCTATTCACTGTTTGATGGCGGTATTCTCATTTATTTTTCAAATATTTCTTGTCTCATCCAAAACTGAATTCTAGTAATCTTTTCAACAAATGATTTTTTTTGGTTATAAAAGGAATAGTGGATTGAAACCTGTAGCTTGGAAACTTGGGAATGGATATTGTTCATATAGAAACTAATTGCAGATGAAACTTTGAAATAGGGTACATTAAAAAAATTAACCTTTTCTTACTCAGATAATCAAGATAAGGTTTTCAGTACCATTTATTAAACTGAATCATGATGTGTTAACCTGGTTTAATATTAATTCATTCATCCCTGGCTGGTGCAGCTCAGTGGGTTGAGCGTGAGCCTGTGAACCAGAGGATCACGGTTCAATTCCCAGTCAGAGCACATGCCTGGGTTGCAGGCCAGTTCCCAGCAGGGGACACATGAGAGGCAACCCTATATTGATATTTCTCTCCCTCTCTTCTTCTCCTCTAAAGATAAATAAATAA